CTCTTATGGTTTCTTGAAGTAGTTTTTTATAGTTTTCTTTGTACAGGTCTTTTGTGTCCCTGGTAAGATTTATTCCCAAGTATTTTATTTTTTTGGTAGTTACTGAGAATGGTATTGATTTCCTTATTTCTTTTTCAGCAATCTCTTTGCTGGTGTAGCTGTCCCTAGTTCTTGCTTTTTTTCTTTTTTTCTCTTTCCTTTCCTCATTCCTTTCTTTTTTCTTTCTTTTGGTTTTCCCCATCCCTTGTTTTTCCTTTTGCAATTTTACCACTTTTTTCTTTACTATGTTTTTTACTCTCTTCCCTCCCTCTCCAGATATTTTGGCTTTTTTTTTTTCTTTCTATTTTTCTCATTATCTTTCTTTTATCCTTTTACAATCTGTTTTCAGTTTTTTTCTTCTCATTTATTGCATTTTTTTTGCAATTTGTTTATGTAATTTGTGTTTTTTGTTCTCTTGTTTTATTTATTTATTTATTTATTTATGTGTTTTTAAAAATTTTTTTGTCTGAGTGGGAAACAACAACCATTCCAACACAATACAACAATAGTTGCACCTCCTGTGGCCCCCTACCAGAAATTTACACACACTCTCATTCTCTAACACTCCCACAGGGAGACAGGTGGTGAGTGCCTAATTGCTAACAACTAGCCAATGGAGGAGTATAGTACCCTGCTCTCACAGATATATCAAAACAAAATTTTAAAAAATCTTGGGCAAATAACACCAACATATAACCACAAATTAAACATAAATACAACAACACAACAATGTCTTGGAGACAACAGACCATCACAGTCCACACAAAAAAGCAAAATAAAGAAATAGAAAAAAAGAGACCAGGATACAAACCCAGAATACATCCATGAGGAAGATGGAAATCCCTGATAAAGAATGGAATCCCTGATAAGGAATTCAAAAGAATTATATTTGGGTACCTTCAATAGCTTAAGAGACAAATCTAGAAACACTGACAAGATCATGGAAAATACTGACAAGATCAAGGAAAACACTGACAAAATTAAAGAAAACACAGACAAAACTCTAGAGCAATTTAGGAAAACAATATGAGAACAAATTGACAAAATAAACAAAGAATTAGAATTGATACAAAAACAACAAATAGAAATCCATAAGATTAATACTAAGACTTCAGAAATAGATAATACATTGAATGGGCAAATGAGTAGAATCGAATCAATGGAAGACAGAATTAATGAGATTGAAGACAAATACCTCAATACTGCTTTGTTAGGGGGTCACTCAGAAAAAAGATCAAAACAAAATGAAGAAAGAAGAACTAAACATTACAATCAACCAAGCCTAAGATTCATGTGGGATACCATAAAAAAGGATAACCACATGTAATCAGAATACCAGAACAGGAAGAAACAAATAAAACCACAGAGAAAATTGTCAAAGATTTGTTGGGAGAGATTTTCCCTAACATGATAAAAGTCAAAAATATATCCATTCAAGAGGTTAAACAAATCCCAAACAGGATAGACCCCAAAAGAAAATCACCAAGATATATCTTAATCAAACTTACCAAAGTCAAAGACAAAGAAAGAATCCTGAAAGCAGCACAGGAAAAACAAAAAGTTATCTACAAAGGGTAACCAATAAGACTAAGCTGGGATTTCTCAGCAGAAACCATGCAGATGAGAAGGCAATGAGATGATACAAATAAAACCCAGGGCGGGGGGAATTTCCAAACAAGAATTATATCAGCAAAATTGTCCCTCAAATATGAGGTGAAATTAGGACATTTCCAGATAAACAGATATTAAGGGAATTTGTTAAAACCAGAGTCTTACAAGAGATGCTAAAGGGAATCCTTCAGACAGAGAATCAACAACAGCAAACAACAACCAATGATTAACACACATGATGACATAACCCAGAAACTAACCCAGTTATAGAAGTATCCAAAGTAAAATAAACTTACGTGACTGTAAAGAGGGAACCAGAGACATCAATTGGTAAATGAGGACAACTACAAACCAAAAAGAGGGAATAAAGCGTATAGTTACAGAACTTCTAAATGCTGAAGAAGTCAAGACAATAGCAAGATAGAACAGACCGTTTTAAACTTGGGAAGAAAATAATAAATCACAAGGCAACCTCAAAGAAAAATAATGAACTTTTGCATCAAAATTAAAAAGAGGACAAGCATAACTATTTAGCAAATATTAAAACAATAGCAAAGAAATAGATAATAACACAATTCATAAACAAAATGATCTCAGCACAGGAAATTATAAGGAACAAAGAAATCAGCAACACCATGAAAAAACACATAACAAAATGACTTCAATAAATTCATACTTGTCGATAATTACACTGAATGTAAATGGATTAAATGCACCACTCAAGAGATGGAGAGTGGTAGATTGGATATGAATACATGGCCCATCAATATACTGTCTACAAGAGACTCACCTTAGACACAAAGACAAAAATAGACTCAAAGGTTGGAAAAAGATATATCAAGCAAATGGCAACCAAAAAAGGACAGGAGTAGCAATATTAATTTCTGATAAAATTGACTTTAAGACAACAACCACCATAAGAAACAAATACCCAACTCACTGCTGTCGAGTTGGATACAACTCATAGGGACCCCTCCTTCGGTGTCCAAGGGAGTATCACTACGGAAGTAGATTGCCCAGTCTTCCTTCTGAGGAGTGGCTGGTGGATTTGAACCACCAGCCTTCTGGTTAGCAATCAAATGCCTTAGGCACTACACCACCGGAGCTCCTATAAGAGACAAGGAAGGACATTATATAATAATTAAAGGATCAATTGAACAAGAAGATATAACCATAATAAATATCTACGGACCCAATGAAAGAACCCCAAAATATATAACTCAGACTTTAAAAGAGTTGAAAAGGCAAATAGATGACTCCACAGTCATAGTGGGAGACTTTAATACACCACTTTCAATAAAAGATAGAACAACTGGAAAGAAACTCAGCAAAGCTGTAGAAGAACTAAACATTACAATCAACCAACTTGACCTTATAGATATCTACAGAGCACTTCACCCAACAACAGAAAAGTATGCATTCTTGTCCAGGACACATAGAACATTCTCCAGGATAGAACATATGTTAGGCCACAGAGCAAGCCTCAATAAATTTTAAAAAGCTGAAATACTGTAAAGCATTTTCTCAGATCACAATGCTGTAAAATTAGAAATTAACACTAGGAAGACCAACAGAAAAAGGACAAATGCTTGGAAACTGAATAACACCCTCCTCAAAAACAACTGGGTAAAAGAAGGTCCATATATATAATAGAGCTAATGGGGGTAAAGTGGTGTTAACTTCTTAGTGACAGCCAAACACCATGAAGGAGTGAGTCACTGGGCCCATGGGCTTTGGACCATGGTCACGGAGGACATCAAGCTCAACTGGCATAACATACTACACAAAAACATTGTTCTACATCCTACTTTAGTGAGTAGCAACTGGGGTCTTAAAACTTGCAAGTGGCCATTTAAATGCAACAATGAGTCTCTCCTCACCTGAAGCAAAGAAGAATGAAGAAAACCAAAGACACATGGAAACAATTAGTTCAACAGACTAGTAGACCCTCAGCCTACATGACCCTGAGACCAAAAGAACTAGATGGTGCCCAGCTACCATTGTTAACCACTTGGAAAGGGGTCAGTGTAGGAGATCCTGGAAAGAAAGGGAGAAAAATGTGGAACAAAACACAAAATCATAACAAAGACCAGGCTTACTGGTCTGATAAAGACTGGTAAAACCCCTGAGAGTATGGCCCCTAGTCACCCTTTGGGCCTGGAATTGAACTCACTCCTGTGGCTGTGAGCCATACAATAGACAGGCATATAAGGTGAATGTTGTAGGTATATAGGTGCACTCCTTAGAATTATGAACCATGGGAGATAAGAAGGGCAGTATTTCCACAAGGAGATAGGTCAGAGGGCAGAAATGCATAGGAAAGAAGGACACAGGGAGTAGGTTACCATAGGATGAAAGTGGGAAGAGAGCAGTTGCATTTTGTGGATTGCAATCAATGTCACGAAACAAAATGTGTATTAACTGTTGTATGGAAAATTAATTTGCTCTGTAAACTTTCACCTAAATCACAATTTAGAAAAAAAGAGTGGTGAGTGATAATGGTGAGGGTGATGGAAATGGTAGGAGATGTGAATGATGATATTAAAGAGATGATGGTGATAATGAGGTTCTGGTGGGGGTGGTGATGATGGTAATGAAAATACTGAAACAGTGATCATTTCTCCCTGTCATTCAGGTGACCCATGAGGTAGCCCAAGGCTGGTGCAAAGAGAAGGATATCCCCTACTTTGAAGTCAGTGCCAAGAATGACATCAATGTGGTGCAAGCCTTCGAGATGCTGGCCAGCCGGGCCCTGTCCAGGGTGAGTGGCTGTGGTGACAGTACCTACCAGGGCTGCCACCAAAATGAGGACCCCAAAGAGGAATAAATTAGGCACAGGTAGGAATGTGGATGAGGCAGGATTGTTCATTGTCTTAGTTAATTAGTTGCTGAATGGGCTCAATGGTACTCCAAGTCCAGAATCACAGAATACCAGAGCTATAAAGGTACCTTAGAGTATAGAGTCAGTGGTCTGTAAATCTGGCTGACTAGCAAAATCACTTATGGAATTTCTAGAAAATACAAAGTCCTATGTTGTTGTTGTCTTTGTTGTTATGTGCCATCGAGTCAGACCCGACTCATAGCGGCCCCTCCTTGGGTTTCCGAGGCAGTATCACTACGGAAGTAGATTGCCTCATCTTCCTTCCAAGGAGTGGCTGGTGGGTTTGAACCTCCAGCCTTCTGGTTAGCAGTCAAGTGCCTTAGGCACTATGCTACCAGAGCTCCCACAAAGTCCTATACTCACCCCAAAACAAACCCCTTGCTGGCAAGCCAATTCCAACCCATGGCAACTCCAAGTGTTACAGAGTAGAACTGCCTCATGGAGTTTTCCTGGCTGTAATCTTCATAGAAGTAGATCACTAGGCCTTTCTTCTGCAGCACCATTGGGTGGGTTCGAATTGCCAACCTTTAGGTTAGTTATCAAGCAGAAACCAACCAGGAACCTCGTACTCAACCCCAGGAAATATTTATTTAGTGAGTGCTTGAGCAGAGGTGATCTAGTTCAATGTTTTCATTTTCTTTGGTGGGAGAGAAGCCCATGTTGCCAAGCATTTATCCAAGTGGACTGTCAAATCTGCATGAGCTGCTGACATCCTTTAATCAAAAAGATGAATAGATGGAGACCCATTGGTAGAATCCTTCAACAAGCACATATTGAGTGTTACATGACTCAGGCACTGTGCAGGACTCTGGGGATCTGAGGTCTCATGAGGGATTCAGACATGCACAGAGTGATGTAACACAGTAGTGTATGGTGGGGATGGACTTGGCAATGAGTCCTAGAGAAGAGGCCCACAGCCCATACTACAGTGGAAAGAAGAAAGAGATGAGAGGGGGAGATTATAGAAGACTTCCAGGAAATAGTGGCAGGGTTTTAATGCAATTTGGCTGTGAGTTTGAAAACTCCAAAATGGACTATGAGAGATTATCATGGGGAAGGGCTCAGCTTGTTTCATTGTTCTGCCACATTTAATCAAGGTGGACTTCTTGGAAGAGGGGAGAGGACGATCTGAGCAATGATCTCTGAGCTAGAGAAATGAGCAAAAAAGGATGAGGAGTAGAAGGCTTCCCCTGTGGGGAAGCATCTGCCCTTGTGCGTGACAGGCCCTATCGGGCCCTGTGCTTCCAGCTTCCCTGGAAGCCAGGGGTCCAGAGACCAGCTTAGAGGTTGTTGGTGTTGGAGACACCTTCATTGTCTTAGTAAATTATAGAGTTCCATGGCTGCCCAGGAAGAAGATGCAGGCTTGCTGTGCTTATACCTGGGAGCCTTCATCTCTGGGCTTGCCCCTGCGGGCTATTCTTGTGCTTCTCCTCCCAGCCTTCAGCCTTCACTATCTCATGTTGTTGTTGTTGTTACGTGCCATCGACTCATAGCGACCCCTCCTTGGGTTTCCGAGGCAGTGTCACTACAGAAGTAGGATTGCCCAACCTTCCTTCCAAGGAGTGGTTGGTGGATTTGAACCGCCAGCCTTCTGGTTAGCAGTCAAGTGCCTTAGGCACTATGCTACCAGAGCTCCTCTATCTCATGTTAGGAGGAAGCAACGAGGTGTCCGTCTCCAGGGCAGAGTCTAGAAATGAGGCTTCATTTCATAGTCAGTAAATCAGTTCTTGGGAGCTCTTATGGTGCCCCAGGTAAGTGCTTGGCTGCTAACTGAAAGGTTGGCAGGTAAAACTTGCCCAGTGGCTCCACGGGAGACCTCATGATTGGTTCCTATAAAGATTACAGCCTAGAAAACTCTATAGGGCTGTTCTACTCTGTCACATGCTTTCATTGTGAGTCAGAATTGACTCAATGGCACCCAGCAACAACAAAGTCAGCTTTTAAATCACAAATGTGATTGTTCATGCCATTCCCCTGGATTTATCAGAGGAATGCCATGAACCTTGTATGATCTGTGATAAATAAGCCTCCACAAACACAGTGCAATGATTCCCAAACACTTAACAACAACAACAAAAAAAGTCACGGCCACTCAGTTGATTCTGACTCATAGTGACCCCTATAGGGTTTCCAAGGCTGTAAATCTTTACAGAAGCAGACTGCCTTGTCTTTCTCCCACAGAGTGGCTGGTGGGTTGAACCACCAACATTTTAGTTAGCAGTCCAGTGCCTTAACCACAGTGGCACCCCAAAGTGTCTGCTTATGGCTGGCATTGGGCTCTCTGGGGAAGGAATATTCTTTATTCTTGAAATTTTGTCCTTCCTACTGTTTGGGGATTAAATGCACCCATTTTTGTGTTCTCATGCTGTTAGCAGATGGTAGCTTGTCCACTTTTTTTCTTTTTAACATCCTACTTGACAACTTCCTCACATTAATGGAGAAAATTTACTGACCGAAAGTCTGAAAGTCGCAGGTATGACATCTGCACTCAGACTGCCTTAGATTTGAATCCTGCCCTGAAGTTTTCAAGTGGACCTTGGGCAAGACAGGTAACTTATCTGAACCATAGTTCCCCCATCTACAAACTGGAAATAATTCAACTCAATGAACATTTCTTCAGTTGTTGGGCTAGGACTGGACACACAGATCTCAGTACAGCCAAGGTCAGGTAGAGGAGTGTGATACTCACAAGTAGATTGTCATGGACTGTGCTAAGTGCCACAAGGGATGTGGTTAAGACCCAGAGGTACCTTAGAAACAACTGGTGGTGAGAGTGGGCAAAGATGCCTATACACAGAAATGGCATGTGAGCTAGGTTTTACAACAATTAGCTGTTTACAGGTGGATATGGTAGGTATAGTGGGTTCAATATGTCCCCAAAAAGGTATGTTTAAGTCCTAACCCTGGTACCAGTGAGTGTGACCTTATTTGGAAATAGGGTCTTTGCAAATGTAATCAAGTTAAGTTGAGGTCATCCTAGATTAGGCTGTGCCCTAAGTCCAATGCTGGGAGCTCTGGTGGCGTACTGCCTAAGGCATTTGCTAACCAGAAGCCTAGCGGTTCAAACTCACCAGCCACTCCTCAGAAGGAAGTTTGGGCAATCTACTTCCATAGAGATACTCCCTCAGAAACCCAAGGAAGGGTCACTATGAGTTGGATCTGACTCAATGGCAGGGAGTTTGGTTTTGAGTTTTTCTAAGTCCAATGACTGGGGTCTTTATGAGAGAGAGATTTGGAGACACAGACACAGAGGGGAAAGGGTCATGTGAAGGCAGAGGCAGAGATTGCAGTGATGCAGCTACAAGCTAAGGAATGTAAGGATTGCCTGGCGCCACTGGAAGCTAGGAAGAGGCAAGGAAAGATTCTCCCTTAGAGCCTTCAGAAGGAACTTGAAGCTGAGGACAGCTTGATTTTGGACTTTCAGCATCTAGAACAAGGAGCCTTTATGGCACAATGGTTAAGAGCTCAGCTACTAATTGCAAGGTTAGTGGTTCAAACCAGGGCTTCAAACTGGTTCAGTCATGGCTGACACACCAAAATCAGAACAGACTCAAATTTGTAAAATGTGGATGTACCAGAATGATAATCAGACAGGAAAAATTTGGGGTCAAAGCCCAGGAATGGAAGATACAGAAGAGGCGTGGTGAGCTCTTTGAGGAGTCTGATGTGGGAGACTGGGTTATTGCCAAGACTGTGGAGAGTGACACACATTCAAAGCTGCATGGTCAGCTGCCATATTTAAGTGGGACACCGCAGTTTCCAGTTTCACCAGTCAGGAGATTTGGTTGCTATGCAATGCACACACTGCCCTTGTTTTCTGAGAGGGAGGTTAAGTCTCTAGCAGAGTGTTGACCCATAATTTTTCCCATTCTGGTTATTGTTCTGGTGTACTCACATTTTACAAAGTTGGGTCCATTCCGGTTTCACTTTGCTGGCCATGACTAAACTGGGAAGAACCAATTTGAAGCTCTGATTCAAACCCACCCAGTGGCTCCACTGTAGAAAAGATTATAGCCTTAGAGACCCTATAGGGCAGTTGTATTGTGCCCTATAAAGGTCACGATGAGTAGGAACTGACTGGACTGGCATCCAAGAACAGCCTCCAGAACTATGAGAGAATAACTGTCTTGCTTTATGCCACACAGTGGTGGTATTTTGTTACTGCAGCCTTAGGAAACAACAGGTTATTGGGGGTGTGAGCAGGAGGGGCAGAAGAGCAGAGAGAAGGGCATGGTCAGTGGCCTAGGCCTGAATCCACAAGGCTGGTTTGAGGAACCAACCATGGGTTCCATTTTCAAGAAAAAGAAACTTGGTGTGGTGGGATGTGGGGAGGTGAGGACATGAGCTGGCAAGGTCAGTGAAGGCTAGAACACAAAGGGCCTTCAGAGCCTGACCAGGGATTCTATTCTCCCACGATTGGTCTCTCCAAGGAGTCTATCTACCTAATGTAAATGTTCAACTCATATGCCTGTCTTTTGTTTGGCTGGAAACCACAGGAGTGGGTTCAATTCTAGACCTGAAGGGCAGCTAGGGGCCATAGTCTCAGGGGTTCACCAAACTCTCTCACACCAGCAAATCTAGTCCTTTTTTTTTTTTTTTAAATGATTTTGAGTTTTGTTCCACATCGTTCTCCCACTCTATCCAAGATCCCCTACATAGATCCCCCTCCAAATTGTTGACAATGGTAGCTGGGCACCATCTAGTTCTTCTGGTCTTGGCTATAGTTTTTTTTTTTATTATTTTATTGTGATTTGAGTGAAAGTTTACAGAACAAATTCACTTGCCATACAACAGCTCGCATACATTTTGTCTCATGACATACAGACCAGGGGTTAGGGCCCTATTCCCTAAATCCAGGCTTTCTAAAACACTCCGCTGAA